GGGCTTGGCTGCAATCCCCAAGCTGCCCCGTGTGAGCCCGGCCCTGCCCCAACCCGAGGGGCGGAAGCAGAGAGAAGGCGGGGGAGAGCGGGGGTGGGGGTGGAAAGAAAAGATTTTGAAACTTTGTACGGGGCATAGGGAACTCTGTTCTATCTTCACTATAATTCTGTTAACGTAAATCTGTTCTAAAACAAAAAGGTTATTCAGAAAAAAACTAAGTAAAAGAAACAAAAAACCCTGCCTCTTGCTCCCCGGCCAGAATATATTTTAAAGGATCATAATCCTATGCCATGCATCCCACCACCCTCCACAACCACAAACAGCCTTTCCATTCTGAACCCCCAACTTTTTATACCTTGAAGTTATAGATATTCACGCCAAGTAAATAACTCTTGAAAATCTTCCCACAGCTCTTGAAATTAAATACTCTATGCCATGTGGACTAAGTTAACTCGGGCAAGGGGTTTAGTGTTTCCTCGCTGGGAAGGATAAGCTTACATTCCTATACACACTCTATGAATTGAATCTCGAGTGGAAATAGTGATCCTTGCTCTTTTTATTGGTTACTACCCGATTTGAAGCCATTGACAACAATTTTGCTCGAGCTAATTTGCTGGTGTGTGATTTTTGAGGCTCCTGAGCCATGAAATTGTTTGCACCTTATTTTCTCCTGTGTCAGTCAGAGTAAAACTGCATCCACTGTTCAACCTCAATGATTCACTTTGAGGCTGTACTTGAATCAGGTTAGTTCTATTACCAAACCATTTCCCTTGGTTAGAGAGGCACATTTCCCCCCTCAACCAGTATTAGATCTGCTTCTCACTATGGATGAAGATATTGGCTTTTTTTTTTTGTATTCCTAAGTCTCCCAAGAATGTAAGCCTTGACTAATGTTTGTCTTCCCAACAAATTTGGTTTGGGGTCAGTAAGGCAGCCTTAGTCCTTTTGGGCTTCAATATTATAGACTGGATGGCTCATAAAGAACAAATTTATTTCTGACAGTTTGGGACCCTGGGAAGTCCAAGATCAAGGTGCCAGCAGCTTTGGTGTCTGGTGAGTACCTGCTCCCTGGTTCACAGACAAGCATGGTCTTCTAGCTCTGTCTTCACACATGCTGGAAGGATGGTGAGAGCTCTGTGTAATATTTTTATAAAGACACTGTTTTTATAAAATCTCACTCATGGAGGCTCCGCCCTCATGACCTAGTCACCTGTCCCTGCCTCCTGATACCATCACCTTGTGGGTTAGGATTTCAACATATTGATTGTGTGGACGTATACAAACATTTGGTCTATAGCAAAGGCCGAGGGCCAAGCTCTGGACTGTAGTGAATTTTCAAGGAGACTTATTTGTGTATATTCTACCATGTTAACTACTACAAGGATATTTTTATTTTAAACTTTAAAATGTGTGAGAATTTAGGGACTAGGAAAAAGAGACTCAATCTCACATAATCCAGCTACAGTCACAACAGGGCATCAGTATGTTTTAGTACATTGATGATTTTAGTATATTTTTATATTTGTAAATTTAGTACATTTATACGCCTTAATGTAATGTTTAAATTCTCATTTGCACATATTCATAACACAATGAAGGTATACTAGTATTAGTGCATATTAAAGTTCATAGTACACTTGGATCTGCATTCCATTCAGATAACTTGACTGAAAGTAACATTTGAAGAAGTAAAAAAGACTTGATGACAAGATTTGACAGTGACAGACTTATCTGGTAAATTTTCTTTCCACTGGCATCTAAAATGTTTGAAATGGATATTTTAATTGATTAAATTGAAAGCATTTACTGAGTACTTACTCAATGTCAAGGATTGTACTAGATGTTGGAGAGATAGACATTTAAAAAGACATAATCCCCATCCCATAGTGAAATAGTGGTTAAACAGATCTCCAAACAAGTAATCTATATATATAAAAGGCTAATATATAAAGTGTCCCCTCGGGAGTTCGACCAGGAGACCAGGAATTCAATCGCTCGCTATGACGTGTGCTGACCACCAGGGGGTGACGAAAAACATGGCAGGCGACTAGTGGTGGCAGTGGGGTGCTGAGGGAGTGAGGGAAGTAGGCGGGCAGGCGGGGAGGTGGGGGAACTGTGTGGTGGCAGCACCTTGGTGGCAAGGGGAGGAGGAGATGGGGAGGCAGGGAACCTGATTGGCCCTGATCGCCGGCCAGGCCTAGGGACCCTACCTGTGCACGAATTTCGTGCATGGGGCCTCTAGTTATAATATCCTATATAATAAAGAGGTAATATGCAGATTGACCATCACTCCAGTACACAAGATGGCCACCCCCATGTGGACACAAGATGGCCAGCAGGGGAGGGCAGTTAGGGGTGACCAGGCCGACAGGGGAGGGCAATTAGGGATGACAAGGCCTGCAGGGGAGGGAAGTTAGGGGTGA